TTTTCTGTCCGACGTTTTCGAGTGAACTCAACTGATGAGCGTCGGTATCTGTTCGTAGTTGGGGTCCAATATATTTGCAACTATGTGGATAACTCAACTTAATTGAACAGGAAGCCCTAAAGAAGATAATGAAGCCTTATCTGTAGTTGGATAATGCCAATGAGGTCCTCTGCTCCCTCACATAAAACCCTTGATGAAGTAGTAAGTGAATGAGTGGGAAGAAGATGCACACGAGGATTTTCTCCTCTAATAACAGAGTGTCCTTAAGAACTCAGACTGCAATAAGGATTTTCTTCACTTTAAATAATTTGTTTTCACTTTTTTTTTTAGAACTGGGCTCTTGTTATTCTACCTTTTCTTTCTGTCAACAAATAAAAAGAAAAGACTAAAGCCAACAATCTGTTCCCTAGTCACCCAGAAGCACTCATTTATTGTCCATCTGTTCCTGCTGATGACACAAACCTTTAAAAATGGCACACACATATCTCTCTCTTTTTAAAAAAAAAATGCTGTGTAATTTCCCCAAACAGCTGAACACTGTAGTTTTTTTAGCACATGTTACTCAGGTAGGAATAAAGAGTGCATTTGATGGGGACTACTTTCAGCTGCGGATTAATACACGTTTGCTGCCCTACAAAGTTTTTACAGCACCAGGATGCTGAGCAAGTGACTCAATATAAATGATGGCGCCCATGTTGGTTGTAATGTAACAATATGTCACCCGGTGCGACAATGTGGCTCATAGATGTGTTAATAACAGCTTTTAACAATGAAGCTCTGATGCACAGAGGAATAAGATGCACATCACCGGATTGGACTCAGAAAATATTTGTTAGTAGGATTATTTGTCTTGTCATGGATTTTTTTCTTCACTGCCTGTAGAAAATACCCCATATACCATCTTGACAATAATCCCACGACCCTACAGATAAACCAATTGGGGTTGACCACCTAAAATTTTACCTTTTGACTCCATTGTTATACTGCCAGATTTTTGCTGAAGATAAGGAGACACAAGCTGAAGGTTTTAGTGGCGTTGTAATCCTCAAGATTGGTCTTGGTCTCAGGACAAGTCTCAAGGGCACTTTTTGAAGGTCTGTCTTGGAATCAACAGAAGACTCAGGATGAAGATGAATCTGTTTTAAGATTGGCAAATTTGTAAGGATCTCTCTAAATTGCTTGTTCACTGTCATTTGCAGGAATCCAATTTCGAATTTTGTGACTATTAACAGTTGCCACTCCTTTGCACACACACACACACACAAAGTGAAAGCAGGAGACTAGAGAAGAATCTGTGGTTGTCTGGGATTAGATGTCAGCCAAGTCTCCTGTAACAAAATTTTGCAATTGAAACCACAAGGCGTTAATCTGCAAAATAGTATGTAAATCCTGCAATCCAGCGCTTATGAGACGGCTGGGATCACGTCAAACTTCCATCAGCCCACAGAAAGGTGGCATAAAGGAAAGTAAGCTAAGCATACTAGCAAAGGCAGACGGCAATCTTCCTGCAAATCTCATCACCCGTCACTCAAAGAGGTTTAGCAAATATTAACTCACATATTAGCTACCTATGAGCGGTGTAGTGTATGCTGTATGTTTCAGGGCACTTGTTTCAGGTCGATGGTTTGCTTGTTCCACATGTTATCTTAAATGTGTCATGATGTGTGGGGCTCATGTTGGCCTGGTTTTGTCTTGGCCTTGGTGCACTCTGGTCTTAGGTGGTCTTACCGCCAGATTTCAGCTGCGTATACTGCCATGTGCTGTACCTTCTGTTTTTATGACTTTTTTTTTTAATGAGCATAATGACTGAAAAGAGCATGTTCATATCCTACATCTTCATTTAAGCGCTCATAGTACTGTCAGTCCAGCAGAGTTCTACATAGTGCTGGCAAGTTGGGCAATTTCTAGTGCATCTTTGTTGCATTTACCTGGATTTAATGCTTTTTTTTTTCTTTATCCCATTGTAGCATCATGTCACATATTAATATCTTAATGATAGTTGCAAAGAAGGTCTGGATTTTAAAAACAGGTCTGAGCCACAGAGCTGAGTGCATCGTCTCTGGGCTTCTACTTCCTGGCATCCCCGCTGGTCTTCGGCCAAACCAGCCTCGAAACTCAGCCAAACTTTGCCCACTGTATACATTTCATTAGGAATGATGCCCTGCATATCTCCATCCTTATTCCCTGCACATCCTGCTGCAGACCACAGACAGCATATGGTGCTGAATATGCAGTGTTGAAGAATAAACCTCAGTATGAACCTAAATCTGCTGCTTCTCAGCCACGACATTCTCCGAAAAGTTTGACAACGATGTGAACCTCTGGATTTCAAAACTAGAAGTTGGTACATTTATTTGATTTGGATGAGATTGCCTGGTTAAATTTCTCTTGATAAATGGTTGTACTAGGTTATGAGGGTGTGGTTACCCAACTCATGGAAGCAAAATATGGAGAGTGCCGTAAAAAAAACTTCTCAGATTTTATATTAAACTTAAAAGGGGAGTTTGTGAAAAATAGATTTCATCATTTAACTGATGACAAAGAAAGAAAGAGAGAGAGAGAGATGCAGGAGACAAAACTCAATGTGCAATACTTCTGACCCAACAATGAAATCATATTGTAATCAAGACTGGGATTGTAAGGGCTCAGGCAATCACAACAGGAGGAGCACCAAACAGCAATGTGCTTATTAGAGAGACACTGACACAGAAAGACAGGGAGAGAGAGATGAGCTGCTACACAGAGGGCTGTAATAAAGACAGAAAGGAGGTAATGGCAGATGGACAAATAGAAAAAGAGAAAGTCTTTTGTTTAAAACAGAGCTTAACTTGTGTTGTTGTGTGCTGACTGGTACTCGGACCAGCTATCCTTGTGTGGCGGCCTTCCCTTCTGCCACCTCCGACCATTTGTACAAACCTGAAGTTGACATTCGTGTTTGATGATCCACTCCTGGGATTCGATGCCACTGATGAGGAGTAACCACAACGTATGAGTCAAGCAGCTCTCGTCAAGAAGAAATTGATCGACGGCCATTTTATGTCTTTGTGTTTGTATCGGCTGCAAGTTGGCTACAGTCCAGTTTTTGGTCACAACAAAAGTGAACGCAGTTTTATCCTCTGTTGTTTCCTGTTCCACACTTTGCAGGCTTTGATTTCTCAAGTTCAGCTTTGTGTCCGTTGTATTCGTAGAGTTCTCCATTGCCTCAAGAAGAGTTTCTGTAATGATTTATCTGTTCTTCAGTATGTTTTCTGAGCATGGCTTTCTGTTGGTCTCAGGGTCTGAAAGAAACACAAGTATTGTGCTTTAAGACAGACAAAGGACGGTAAGAGTTCAGAAGTAGTAAGGACCATAGACTGTTCATAAAAGATGGACAAAGTCTCCAAGGCTGAAAAGTGAAGCCAATGGGGAAGTGTCTTAAACCCAGCAGGGGGCAACTCCTCTAGATGTGAAAGAAGTCCAATGGTGTAGAAGTATATTGGTAATAAACCCTTCACTCATTATCTGTCACTTCAGTAAACATTTTTCCACTGAAGCTATGGTCCCATTCACTGGTTTTAAGCCTTTCTGACATGAACTTTATGTTAATTTAGTAAATTATAATCCCATTCATAGGAAAATAGATAATAAAGCAGGGTATGTTTTAGGGCGAGGCTGCCTTGTGATTGATAAGTCACTCCCGCAAGCAAGATGACAATGGCCAAATTCCAAACTTGAGGCTTCAAAACAGTAGTTAACAAACCAATGAGTAGCCTCACAGTGGGTATGTCCATCTTTGATGTACAGTCTATGATCAGGACCGACAGCAAATGGCAAAAAATCTATAGTCACGACAGCATTTGTTTGGTGTTATTTGCACATTTCTTCTCTTGTTCCAAACTGACCATTCACCAAGTCCTGTCGCCCAAAGCTCCTGTTGTTACATCTGTCAAGCTTTCCAACTGAGCACTGTGGAAACTTGCAGTTTACAGTGATAACCGACTCAAAATTCTTATTAGCTGTTGAAACAATGGATTCGTGATTTAAGACAGAGGCAGACAAAAGCAGTCTCTCTCTTATCCAGGAAATGTTGATTTTGTCAGCTGAAATGACAAAATGACGTGACTGAAATGATAACTAGCAGATTTTATCAGTTCTAGTCAGCTAATTAATCAGTGAATTGCCTGAAAACTCCATCTGCAGCTGACTTATCAAAGTCTTCTGCTGACTCACGTTGAGACGAGAAGTCATAAACATGCGGCACAGCTAAGAGACTAAGGCTTAAGCTTCATGCGAGCAAAAAGTTTGCAACCTCAACAGCACATTATCCGTACAAGACATGGAAGACTCGCCAACAAGGCCCTAAACTAGTAGCGTCTTGCAACATGTAACCCCACGAAATAGAAAGATGTGCCATTTGACATACTAATGTTAGATAGTAAGCTGGTTAGCCATGCTATTAATAGCAGCTTGTGCTCCAAAAGACAAAAATACAGCCTATTTATTACACTTTTGCTTTTGTAGTTTTACTTTTGGTAAGTCTAAATCAAGACACCGGCATCTAAACTCTTATAATATAGAGTGGTTTTCTAACTATAGCCCCAGGCAAGTGTTCAGCATGTTGAGAAATCCGAAGCTTGACAGGCCTGCCGTGCCTCGTTATGGTTTCAGCTATGATTGGACAGTCACTCCTCAGGGGAGGGGTTCAGCAAAGGGCCAATTGCAAAAAAAAAAAGAAGTCACTTAAACGTCAGATTAGTTTAAAAGCATGGTGATATGTCATAATGTATGGCAGTCAGAGAGAAACCCATCCTAATTCATGATGATATGCTTACCTAATTTAGGCTGTTGCAGAACACCAATAAAACGCAGCAAAGAAAGAAGCACAGAATTAAAAATAGAACAAAAGAGGTATTTCTGTGGGGCGTGATGTAAGATGAGAGCGTTTTGCAAGCGCTAGTCAGCAAGGATTACTTGCTCCTCACCTGTCCTGAGGTTTGAGGAGTTGGTTATTGCAGAAGGCGGTGCAGGGCTGGTCTTAGACGTTGCTGCGCAGTAACCCCCCCTGTGGGTGCTCAGGAGTACTGCACTCTGAGGAGTTCTTGGCTTTGTCCTTGTTGTTGTTGGGCTCGTTGTCTTTGATGATGTCATACTGGCGACAAAACAGGGCGATCACCCCTAAAACATGAGTAGACATAAGGATTATTTGTTAGAATTATAACAGCCAAGATCAGTTGTTGGAGAAGCAACCCTGGACCTGGTCAAGGACATTTGCTAAAGGATATTTCATTGAGGTAAATGCTTGTAGATGTTTTTCCAGAACATGTCACATCATGTTTGGGTTTATTTTGGATGTCTTGTTAAAGGCCCAGTTGGGTGAAAGTTTCCATATCATGTGTTGTATATGCGGGATGACACATCTTGAAGTGAAATAAGCATTTAACGTCAACAAATATGGATTCAGACTTCCATATGGATCTGAAGCAACAACATAGAGTAACATCTAAGCCATTTTACAGCATGGATAGATTAGTATCATGGAAAAAAAAACCTTTTAAATATGTAACTTTAATACACATTAGTTAAATTAATAACCACAGAGTGACTTCAATAGCTGCATTTTTAGCCATTTCAACTAATTTAAAGTGGCAACAGATGAGCTGCTTTAATTTATCATGATGAAGTAAATGTTGATTGCACATCGTAATGGCTATAGAGCAGTATTGCCATCAGCGTTTAGGCTGGTTCCCTATAAGCCTAATTTTTACACTGCGATTTTGTCTGCCCCCGGGCAAAAAAATCTCCCAGGAAAATTCGGCTCGCGTTACGGCACAGACGAAGCGCATCTGCAGTGCAAAGCAACCAAAACAGGACGAGCGTAGGGGTTTCGTTTCCCCCCAGTAGCTACTGGCAATTTTCCTCTGGAAGCACAACAATGGAACTATGTAAACTGTACCAGGCGAAAGGAAAATAGCCCCATTGTCGGAGGAGGCAAAGAAGGTGAACTGGGAGAGTGTTTGAAACCGAGGTAAAAACAAAAAATGAACCTCAACGGAGACGGCTCTGGAGCTTGAGAGGTTTCAGAACTGACATTCAGTTGGCATTGCTTCCAAACTCTGTCTTTATCGTCTGCTTTCATGTCTCCTTTATAGACCGACTGAATGAATGAATAAACCTGTACTTCACACTCCAACACCATCCCTCGCTGGAGTTGTTTTTATGAAGCAATACTCTATATAACTATATTATTACTAAATTTAAAATGATTAGGATTTAGCCATTGCAACAGGAATATCACCATTTCCAGAATTATAAGCAATTGACATTAAAAATATCCAGTTTTCTTCTCTCACATGTAATTGAGCACAATAGACATTTTGTTGTTTATCAGATGGTCACAGATAACAGGAAGATGCATCGATTTCTGTCAAATAAGACGTAAATGTAGACTCACTCTCCCGTACTGTACGCAAACTGATCATGCCTACTATCACATGTAGTCATTACCGCTGTATTTACCAATTATTGTGAACACAATGCACAATGGTTCAGGAGGTTCTTTGTCCCCACTAGTCATCAGGCACTATAGCACCTCGGTCAAGGGTAGTGGTGCTCATGACCTGATCTGGTGGCTGTTACATTCCAGTGACTCAACTAAACATAGCAAAAAAAGCCCAGTAATCCTGGGCCCACCAAGACCCACGCACCGCACCTCGTCTTCAATCAATAATGAACTGTGCATCTCAGCTTCAAACAGGGACAAGAAAACCTAAAAAAGTGGATGTTGAGTGGAAACTTTGCAAGCTGTAATACCTTTTTTGCATCAGAAAGTTGCAGTAAAAGTATTCTAAAAAAGCCTCTGTACTTTGAGCTTTGTCCTCTCTGTCCTTTCTCTCCTTGTACCTCTCTGCAGGTGTTTTCTGGCTCTGGAGCTGCATGTGTCTGATCTGCGGTTACTGATCCCACTAATCTGTCCAGTGTTTATGCTCTCTTGTTTGTTGTCTGTCTGCTTGTCTCTGCTGTCCTCGTTTCCTCTCACCTTCACCCTCACCCCAAGCAGTGGAGGCAGATGGCTGCCCTCCCAGTGCCCGGCTCTGCTGGAGGTTCTTCCTCTCCGCTGTTGCCTGAGTGCTTGCTTGAAGGAGCTGTTAAGATTTGTTGGGTTTCTAAGTATAATTCTGAACGATCTAAACATGAATATTTAAGTTAGTGAGGT